AATGATATTTTGACCCCGGGGCGTGTCTTGCTCGCGACTCCACGTGAGCTACGTGTGGGCCAGTCCCGCACGTAACATCACGGTGAGTGGCCTTTCTGTTCAATATGGCGTCTATTTGAAAGTTTGATCTTCATTAATACCTTAACCTTCTTTTCCACCGAATAATAAAAAGTACTCTAACATAAAGTACGTCCAGGCTCTGAGGAAGGCGAAGTCGCCGAAACGTCAGCCATCGATCAATAACATCAAAAACAACGACAACGACAACGACAACGAAGATCTGTACCAACCTCGCGTCAGCTTAAGAAGATCAGTTTATAAGATCTCATAAATAAATATATCAACTATTTATGCCGAGGTTCATAGAAAGTCGGTCTTTCGAGCTTTTTGATTTGTTTGTTGTGCTTCCCACATTCGACTGATAGCTTATCCTACACAGATGTTGCACCAAATGTGGTCCGTGACCACTTATTCTCTACACTTAATTTGAAGGAAAAACTTTTTTCGCTGCCCATTTTTCAATGCACATCGCGAGCACCGAGAAATTAGGCTTAGTCTCAACTGGCCACCACAAACATCCAAATGTAGTCGAGGGCTTGAGAAAGTTTCCTGCATTTTTCATTCCACAAATTCATTTTTGACCGTTTTCAATTGTATTGGCAGGCCTAGAGATCTCGGAACATAACGAAACATTAGGCTGTCGAATGCTTTTAAATCACTGACCAAACTGAAAATCAAAGGTGGTCGAAATCCCTAGAGGGAGAACGGATTTATGACGGGTTTTTAAGCCTTTAAGCTATCCACCAAGAAGGTGTTATTCTTATTTTACGTTACTAGGTAAACTTGTCCGAAATATGTGGGCTATCAGCCGTTTCTCCAAACGGACAACAGACAATTTTCGCAGGTAAAGTTGTAGAAAATATGAAAAGCAAATAAAATAATGTAGATACACTTTAGAAGGAATGGGGTGTTACAAGGAATCAAATAAGATGACTGGAAAATGGAACAGGTAAGATAAGATAAGACGTTGACTTTAAGTCCGACTCCAATAAAATTTTGAGTTATTTGTGGAATTTAAACAGTACATTCATAACATGCTGGCTCTAAAAAAAGGAGAGGTAGGAAATTTTGGAAACTCAATAGGAGGAAAGGTTGGTAGGCCAGCCGATGTCTCTTTGTGTTCTACATTCAGTTAAAATCGGTCCTATTAAAATCGAATTTTAGATTTTTCCCACATTCCCAGTTTTTCTACACCCCTTTTAGCCGTTTCCGTTGGCAATCACAGCATATAGCAATTGCTTCTTAAAGTGCGCCTGTGGTGCAGTGGTCGGAGGCCCCCTGCAACACACACATGGGATCGACCCCAGTGCCTATGGCCCACCAAGCTTTCCATCTTTCCAGGGTTAGTAAATTGGTACCAGACTTGCCTGAGAGGATAGCAACACTGACTTGATATATCGGAAGGCCAACGCGAGTCATTGTAAGGGCCAGATATGCATCCAATTACCTCCAAACGATGCCTAATGAAGACGAATACATGGTGCATTCTCCCTCACGCATTGATCAACGCCAAGAGCTTTAGAGAGAGGGCTTTTCTTAAACCCTTGATCATCTTAGTGAAAACATTTCAGGGCATTCAAGTATTTCTCTCCATAGATCCAAACAGTAACAACAAAGAGCTCTACGACAGAAATGTAATCAGCAGGTTCGTTTAAGAACATAAAGAGTTTTTGCAGAAGTATAGACAACAACTTCACAGGGCTTGTATTTCTAACGTTTTTTCTTTTCAGTACAACTGATTTGATCATTCTACAAACCCATCGTTTGCATTCTTCTCGAGAGGCTTTCAGTGGCCACCATTCGCCTATGTTTGCAGGACCAGCCATTCAGGATAGTCGAATGACCGTGGAATCCTTCGTGAGAAGTTGGATCTATCGTGGCGTGCCGAGGTACTTCCATTCTTTTTTTGTTTCCTAGCTTAAAAAAACTAAGAAGCTGAGAAATGGTGCATTAGTAGAAGGCTCAATTACGGCTGTTGATATCTTGGTGCCATCTTGAGTGTTTCGTGACTTGATCACCAATAAGTTTAGCAGATAGACTGAAAATATTGGTTTGTTTGGCATATCAAGGTCTCTATTTTTAGAGTTTCCATCGGTCCATTGGCAAAAGTTTTTCAGAGAAAAGCTAGTTGTGTCGGTGACTTCCGTACCTACTTCTGTTACGCTCAACCAGGAGCTTCCATTCACCGACAAGGTGTTCGGCATACCCGTCATTCCGAGTCTGCTGACGCTTGGAAATCATATACTCTCGCAAACGGAGGTTCTCCGTTATTATTCGTTGTTGATGTCGTCAGCATGTATAATCGAGAACCAAAATGTTTGTGAAATGGGTTCTTTTCTTCTAGATCTGTGAGGCAGTTAAAAGTAACAACAGTCGGGTTCTTTGGATTGAAGAAAGCGGTGTACCGGCTTTATTCCACGGCTCAGTATTTGTGGCGTTTGATAACGAAAAGAGTGCAAAGATTAAGGTAAGTATGAACAGATTGTTGGACTAAGAAGGAAATCCAGACCATACGCACCGAACTTTTACTTTTGCTTTTGGTAGGAATTTGAAAAATTTTGTTTGGAATTTGTTCGGAGTTCTTTCGACAGACGTTCTACTACTGTCGGCATCCATCAAATAATTCCTTATATTCTTGTTGAGATAACACGTGCTGTTTAATTCTTTATTACGATGAAGCTGACGCTTCGGCGAATTTCGCCTTCTTCAGAGCCTGAAAGGTCAAGTTGCCTGCAATATACCCAGCCAAACATCTTTATAACCAAACAGAGGAAGTACTAAACCAAGATTACAATCACGTTGAACACAGGATAGCTTCTTTGCACACTCACCACTTTCCTTTCCACCACTGGATATGTCACGTGGAGACCAACAGCACAGTGTTCACATGAAAGCGTAATGTGCTTCTCACATTGAAATATCAGTCTTAAATACTGCGTGAGATCAGGCTTGATTATGCGGCATTCCTCCCTGCGGTTCATTTTCGGATGCTTGGAGTGTATCCAGGATGCCTCGAGGGTCTTGCGCGATGGTGTTGATTCCTGTACGAGCATGGTGACTTCTACTTCTAAATCTTCCCCGTTATGCCTCTTTGTTTCGTGTACGCCTACAGCTATATCTGGTTTAGCTTTACGCTTACCTGCTAGGTGTTTTTTTTATACGGATGAATAGTGGTCTACCCGTTTCGACAATGTATCCTTCCTCGAACGCTTTGCAAGCGATCAGATACAGCGTATCGGAACTCATGCAATCAGCATCTCTACCGTTGGGGCACATTGTGCAATTTAGCGTCGTACATAGACAGTCATGCAGGCGGTCGCGAACTAGCTGGAGTCTTAGAGTGCTCGGTTGTATTTCGATTAATGTTACCGAATTCTGTAGACCGGTCCTTCTTAAGCAACGCTTTATAGCTGTACTTACTTCGCTTGAAATACTTACTTACTTGGATACTTGGATGGTCCGTCTTCATGAGCTGTGCGGACCCCAGCACATATGCCATTCGTTCCTTTCTCTCGCAATCGTAGTCCATGGTGGTGGTCTTGTTCAAGCATGGCAGCGCTTGCGAGTCTCATACCGTGATCTGTAAAACAACTGCAGCTGCGGGTACAGTTGATTAACTTTGTTTACGAACACGTCCGCCCAACGTGTAGGTGGTCGTCCAAGAGGACGTTTCTATTGTCTTGGAGTCAACTCTACTGTTCTCTTCGTCCATTTCTCGTCGGCTCTTCTCATTACGTGACCGGCACATCTATGTTTCGCTGTCGATGTATATTCTCTTGGATCTCGAAGATGTGACAGATTTCGAAGGTCAGAGCTTCGCATTCCGGCTACATATTGAGAGTGCTGGTTATATTTCAGAAGACATCGCTCAATCTCTCTGTGAGCGGTGCGAAGTATTCTAGACGTAGTTGAAGTATCAACCCACGTCTCGGCAGCATAACAGAGCGCTGGGATGACCGTAGAATCAAAGAGATGAACGCGGATTTTCGGGTCCTTTAGTTGGTCTGTGGTTTCTTTGAGAGGCCCGAATGGGGCCCATGCTGCTCTCCTTCCTCTATGTAGTTTCCCTTTCATGTTGTTTTCCATATTCATTGATCGCCCAAGGTACGTACGAGGTGGTCTCTGTAATAAAAGAGCCATCCAATTCAATTTTCTCGCTTTCGTACCATGGGTTTTTTATGAACTGGGACTTCTTTTGATTGATGCGAAGTACAGTCTTTTTTCCCGCTTCGTTAAGCTCGTTGATCATCACCTCTGCTTTGCTAGTATTTCTTGAGAAGATGACAATGTTGTCGGCGAAACGAAGGTTTGGTAGGAATTTACCACCAATACGTATGCCTTTCTCATTCCAATCGAGTGACTTCATTATCCACTGCAGTGCGGCACTGAACAGCTTTGGCGATATTGTGTCGCCCTGTCGAACCCCTTTTCCTATGCGTATTGTAAGAGGTCGATAGATAAAAAAGCTGTATTTTCGTAGTGCAGTTTCAATAACAATCGGACAGAGTCCTTATGTAGGACGGGTCCGCTCCTTGGTCGACGAGCGCTGACAGGATTGCATTCGTTTCGACACTGTCAAACGCTTTCTCATAGTCGACAAAGGTTAGGACTAGAGGCAAGTGGTATTCCCGACAAACTTCGATGACCCTGGACACGGCTTGGATGTGGTCTATGCAGCAAAATCCTTTTCGATATCCTGCTTGCTCGACTGGTTGCGCCTTATCCATTGTCCTTGATATGCGCGAGAGCATAAGCGAGAGCATCTTCGTGAAGAGCTTGTAGAGCACACTTAACAAGCATATAGAGCGATAGTTAAAAAGATCACTTCGGTCTCCTTTTTTGGGCAGGGTGACCGTGCGCGTCATCCTCCACTGGTCTAGGATTTTTCTTTTTGAAGGTGGCCTGTCATATGATCTGCGAGAAGTACTTGTAAATTGTGGCCTCCAGCTCTAAGGAAATCGACAGAGATATTATCGGGTCCTGGAGCTGTGCATCTTTTTATGCTTTCTATCGCAACTCGAACCTCCGACGGAAGAATTCCAGGTGGTTTTTTTCCAGCGGTGGTATTAGGACCCGGGACGGAGATTGTGGAACGGAAAAGCGTTTCCGCTAATAATTCCATATCATGGCGGAAAATTTTGACGATCCTATCTTCGTTCATCGGGGCTGACATCGGAACATTATAATCACACAAGTACGGACGGCTTTTTTTTCGGACTGCTTTTCTCTGTTGCTTCTGCTTGTACCGTTGCAGATCTTCCTGCAGAGCTCTTCTGCGGCTGGCATTTATTACTAGCCATGTTAACAGTATTGCAATAGGATCAAGCTCCAGTTTTCTTCTCTTTTCGAGCAACTCCTTAGTAGTGATGGAGATGCGATTCGATCTTCTTGAGAAACCGAGGCGAATTCAGCACAGCTTTTCAGTCCTTCGACAAGCAGCTTTAGTCTTCGGTCGGGTCTTCTGCAATCTGCCAGTCACGTTTGGACAGGACTTCGTTCAGAATGTTCTCGTCGTATGCAGGTAGACTTTTTCCTCGTGGTCGATGGAGAGAGTTGTTTTCCGGCTTGCGGCTGAATCGAATCCTCGCGCGAAGACTGCGATGATAGGAACCAGTACAGATGACAGGACTACCAATGTGTCAAGTAGGCACCATCTTCTGTTTGTCAGAATATGGTCGATCTCAGCATGAGTTATGTCGTTGGGAGACTCCCATGTCCAGCTGCGGCTTTCTTTTTTCTGAAAAAACGAGTTTCCATGGAAGAGACTTGCTGCTGACAGGAGCCCTGCGATACGGTCCCCGTTCTCATTTCTTTCTCCAAATCCAAAATTTCCGATCCTGTATTCGCTCTCGTTGGCCTTTCCTATTCTGGCGTTGAAGTCTCCAACAGCAAATTTATGATATGCTTTATCATTGCGTATGACTTCCTGCAACTGATAGTAGAACGCATTTAATTCGTACACATCAGCTGCATCGGTTAGTGAGCAGCAGTTGGTGATAGTGATCTTCTTATGATGCGACAGTTGAAGACGGAGGACGGCTATGCGAGCTGAAAGGACCACGAGTCGACGAGTTGGACGACAAAGTCTACGCCACCGACATTTCGTGACGGGACCTTTTCTCCACGGATCACAAGGGTCCTGTTGTTTAGTTGGCGTATGTCGGTCTTCATGATTTTTGTTTCCTGTAATGCGATCACATGAAATTTAATGCGATTTGCGGCTACAAGAAGGGCGTGAAGATCGGCGTCTGTGGAGGGTGTTCTGGTATTATATGTGCATAGTAAGAAACAATGTCCATTCCATGGCTTGTCGTGCGTGTGTTCGTCAGATCCGGTTCCAATGACGTCCTGCGTAGTCCGAGATTTTCTGGCCTCTTACCGGTCGTCTCACCGCCTGACGTCATAGACGGGAGCACCCAGTGTGCGGAGTACTGAGAATGGGCTATTGCTGGTTGTGCAACTTGGTCCTCCCTGGAGTCCTTACGTAACCTTGCAAGGGCGTATCCAGGTCCTCACCACGATGTGGATCAGAGGGAGGTGTGTTTTCGGCGACGAGTCCTTCGCTCGATTTTCGTACTAGTTGATTCGGAGAGGTGTTAAAACCGAAATCAGAAAAGAAAGTAGGAATGTAAAAATAACCGACCGCTCAAGGTCGATGTAGAATCCGAAATCCTCAAGTATTAATTTCAATTTTAATAACTTCAAAAAATCTATCGAAGAAATCAGATAGAGTAGGAAATTACACCACAATACTGTGACTAAAAGCCATTATGGAAGAAGTTAAAAGATGCTGACATATTATAATTTTTTTATTTATTTCTTTATTTGTATTTGCAAAACTCCGGACCGTAAGTGCCTGCGGTGGGGAACGAACGCGCTATTGTCCTTTCCGCTGGAAATCAAGGTCAGGATAAACGCGACCTTATTATCGATAGAGTTGTCGCCTCGGGGCTTGGGTTTTTCTCTACACCTACTCCAAAGAGCTACGGTTTCAACCTTCAGATAGTCCATTACTTTAATTCGGCTATTACTCTACTATAGATATACAAATGACTTGTTATTTGCTCAGCACAAAACGAATTGGACAAATGTTTTGCGCCATTGAATAAACAGGCAGAGTACATCATGTTGGGCTGGGAGAAACCGAAGAAAAATTGGCTTCCATTTTTGGATGTTCAGATTAACCTATCCGAAACGGCTACATTACGACAGGGTAGCCTCTCACTCATAAAGGGTGCTTACTGGAAAAATTTTTCGAACAGCCACCAATATGTGCACAGGAAGAGCATAGAAGGAGGAATCTCGGCAATTCGCGCGGGAAATGATCGTTTCCAATGGCTACGAAACTTTAGCTTCTCGGGATCGGTATAGAGGAAAACTCAAGCCACGAAACGATAACACTGGTGAAAATGAGGTCACGTTTATTCTTTCCTTCATTTCGAACGAAGTAAGTGGAGCTATAAAACGTTGCTTGAGAAAGGCCGGTGTAGTGAACTCGGTAGCAGTGATTGAAATACCACTGAGGACTCTAAGACATCAGCTATTTCGCAACCGCCTACATGACCGTATATGCACAGCGAAAAATTGCATGATATACCACCACGGTAGAGACGGTGTTTGCATGAGTTTGGCTACGGTTCATCTGATTTCTTATAAAGTATGTGGTGAAGAACATATTGATGAAACGGGTAGGCCACTCTGCGTCCGTATAAAAGAACAACTAGTCGGTAAACTTAAGTTAAACTAAGTGTTCCACTAGGTGCGCATATGGCACAAAGACACCACAGGAAGATTGTGAAGCAGAAGTTGCAGTGGTCGCGCAAGAATCAGCGGAAAACACCAGCGCGCAGAACTCTTCAGGCATTCTGGGTGAATCCAAAGAATCCGAAAATGAATCGCAAGGAGGAGCGATTCGCAACCACGCGCGATCCCACAGAGTGTGCGAAGAAGTTGCTTTGTTTTCAATGCGATTGAAATATTGGTTTAGCATGTTCTCTGTTTGGTTATGGAGGTGTTAAGGAACTGGGTAGATCGCAGTAAACTTGACCTTTCTTGAGGTTTTGAGGAAGGCGAAAACCCCGGAACGTCGGTTTTTTCGTAACAAAAAATAAAATGAAACCTCTTATTTACTCAACAAAAATATAAAAAATTATTTTTTCGGAATGTTTGAAGCCGTGGCTCTTTATTTTATATACCTGTCAACATATAAGTGCTTGCATTTCACCTAAACCTAGACACATGCTAAACTGCTTTTTTACACCTATACGTGAAACTGAGAAGCTCATGAAGCGTACCAGTTTGAAATGGCTCTGTAATGCAGACTTGGTTGGCTCAACTCCTTATCTTAGTGTAGCCTAGCCTCCCATCCTTTCGAAGAAGGCGAATTTGAATCAGAGTATGGAAACAGTGGCTTGATACATCATATGGGAAGTAGAAATTATTGTATGAACCAGATATGCATTCAATTGCTTCTGCGATGCTTGAGGAAATCGAATACCATGTATATACTATAAGAAGTAAACGTGGCCGAAGGTTATCCCTGTTTTTATCCATGTAATTACATTGTGGGTTAAATAGAAGCTTCACACTCGCTCTTCCTTAATCCGCGTCCACAGCGCAGTAGTGACCACTAATGTCTTTTGGGAAATCCAGAAACTCTAGAAAAGTTATCTAGAGGTGAAATTAATTTAGAAAAGTGATGAAAAGGATGCAGTCTCTGCGCTCAATCTTCTGTCAGTTCTGCTCTTATAGGCAACTTGGACCTCATCGAACAACCTAGCTGGAGTTGCCATCCACGGGCTTCCACAGGATAACCCGAACGCAGACTGCCCCGATCGTCCATTTCCGATACTGCAGAGTATTGTCGATGCTCAGGTCAGCGTTGAATAAGGATGTCTTTCTCCTTAAAAAGCTTTTATTTTTGTTTCTTTAAAAGTAAATACCGGTTTTTGCCGTTAATTTACAAATGTGTAGGTATGTACACTTTGTGCTGTGATGAATCAATCAAAGTGTTCGTCATCGTTTCAAGTCGTCTGCGACTACCGTCTACCAGCGCTCGATGAAGGTTAGTGGTATCGACATTACGGGATTGGATTCACAATTTGATTGCTGTTACAACAAATGTGAAAATTGACAAAGATCTTCACCTCATATACGTCCGAGAGTTGCTAGAATTTTCAGCTACTGTAGTTTTTCACAACTTCACAGTGCCGTAGATATCTGTTGTTGAATTTCAATAACAGTCAAGGTTAACTGACCATTAATGCTCTTACTATTGTATCTAAAGAAAAAACTGCTTTTGGCACTCACAGAGTGCGATTCCCGAAACGTTATTACAAGTATTTTTCGTGTTTTTTGTCCTTTATAGGGTTTTCGTGGTCGAAGAACAGCAAGGCTTCAAAATAGTAGTTAATTTTGCATCACATTTCGGAGATAACTTCAAGAAACTCCCACACTCCTCTCCTTGTCAAAAGTTAAACTTTCCAAAAGTGAAACGATGGTTCGGTTTTTGATGCCTTTAACGCAACTACATAAAAAGTGTAAAGCTCTCGGCGTTGATCGATCCTTGAGGGATGTGCCATGCATTCGACTTCATTAAGCACCTTTTGGAGGTGATTGAATGCATATCTGCCCTTTACAATGACAGACAAGTTTGGTACCATTTTTCCGACCTAGATGGATGACTTAGTGGGCCATGGGCAAGAGGATCGATTCCACGTGTGTTTTTGCAGGGCACTTCCTACCTCCGACCATTGCGCGGCACACAGTTACATAAAATGGAAAAAAGGCATGCGATCATCGACGATGCGTTAGATAACATAAGATCTAGCTCATTCAGTCGTTTTTCGCCTTTTGCCATTTTTTCTTCAGTACGGTTTTAAACACGAGGTCGATGAAAGAAAAAAGCCACAAAGGTTTATAAGAACTAGAAGACGTCATGCTTGAATAAGAAGATCAGCAGTTAGGTTTTTCAGATTCTAGTGGTTTTCATGGGAGTGAATCAGTAGTGAGATAAGACCGTTTGAATTTGGAAAGCAGAAACATTTTTGGCCACGCATGAGTTTAAGTGGGTTTAAGTCATGCTTTATGTTTCAGTGACATTCTCAGTGTATTAAATATAGATGAGTGTTTTAGTGCTCCTTGTTTGAGAACGCCTAAAAAGTATAATATGGCGCCATTTGACGCAGCAAGCCTCCATTTCTGCTTTACGAGGCCATAATGTTTGCATTGTAGCACAACGTCTCGATGCAAGCAAGATTCCGTTCGAACTGTGCACCGAGGTGGTGGTCGAACATGCAGTGATCGATGCCAACGCCACAGTTCGATTCCCCTCAGAAGAACAACGTGATGTAGCCAAGCAACTGGTTTGTTACTTGCAATCCCTTTAGAGGAAAAGAGGGCAATTCTGAGCAGTTTTGCAGAGTGGTCTCCGTTCTAATATGAAGAACATGGTGATTTCGTTGCGTTGTGGGATGGAGAAAGGAGAATTCGTTCAATTTATGCTAAGCAGAGGTATTCGATAACACCTTTACTAAAAAACTCGGTGAATAAGCTTTAACAATTGGATATGGGGTAACGATGAGTTTCGTATTCTACATAGAGAAACATTTAAAAATTGCTCAGCATACAATAATGGAAATGTAGTGATCTGGAATAATCTTGTATAAAGAATAGAAAGGAATGTTCTGAAAGATATCTTCAATGATGCCGAGATATTTGCAAAACTCCGGATCGCAGGTGTCTGCGGGAACGAACGCGCCATTACTCTTTCGAGGGGCTAACACGTTCACCACCACACTACGTAGGTCTTTAGTTTCGCCTGTGTCTCAGCTAGTTCTAGCAATTAGTGCCATCAGCAATGACCCGCCAGCAGGATTGATCTGGGGAGGCCAAATCGACAATACCGTGCCATTAAAAAGAGTAGGCAGTAAATAATAGGTTAAAACTTCTGGAAGGTAATTTTTTTAAGAAGAAAATAGCAGTTTATAGCTAAGCGCATGAAGTTGGCTGCTACGATACGGTCATTCATGGACGAGTTCTCATTTGGCGGAGTTGAGCTACGATGTGCTGATTTGGTTACCAAAATTACAAAACTTCAGTTCGCTCATTTTCTTCGACTACTCAAAAAAGAAATGAAAACGAAAGAGGAATGCGACAAGACCGTTAGCATTCGGTGGGCGATGATATCATCGTTTTTCATTGTCTTTTTTTGTATTTTTTCGTTAGTGATGAAGATGATAAGTAAGAAAACCGTTGCACTATCGTGTGTTTCTGGAAGCGCCTTTGGAAATTTTTGGTCATCACTGTGATTTTTAGTGGAACGTGTGGCGTAGTGCTCGGAGGCGCCCTGCGAGACACACTTAGGATTGTTCCCCGCGCCCATGGCTCACCAAGCCTTCTATCTCTTCGGGGTTGGCAAATTAGTACCAAATTTGTCTCGGAGGATAGCTGCACTGGCTCGATACATTGGTAGGCTACCGCAAGTCATTGTAAAGGCCATATATGCCTTCAATCACCTACAACAATGCTTAATGAAGTCGAGTGCATGGAGCATCCCTCAGGGATTGATCAACGTCGAAAGCCTTAGCTTTTTTATCGTCGCGATTGACGTTTTCTGGGGAGCAGAATTTCTTCATGGAATGTTAATTAAGTTTTAGAAGCATTCTGATGAGCAATCATTGGCTTTTTTGTCGAACTACCTCTCGTCAACTTTCTTCTTCCTGTAATCTCTGCTGTGCCGCGCCTTGCTATATTTTCCTCATGCTTTACCGAAGTTCCCTATAATTTTAGTAGCGCTCCGAGTTAGCAAATTTTTTGTGCTTTGTAGGCTTACCTCTTTAGGTTTAGGATATATATAGGATAGATTTGCATACTTGGCTGTTTCGTTACTGGTCCCCGCATTCGAGAATTCTATAGTCGAAGTCATGTTCGTTTACCAATCCTGGATAACATAGGCGAACAAGAACAAATAAAAGGTGGAGTGACAACGGTATTCGAAAGATGACTGCGTATTTTTCGTTTCTTAAATTTCTAACCCCGTTGATCACATCTATTCTTCCTAGAGAGTCTATGAATTATATTATTAGAACGATGTTCATGTGATCCGGAAGACAATACATCAGTGAAACCTGTTGGGAAACTTTACCGGAGAACTGGGCTAGATGTTTGGACTTGAACGATTTTTAAACACCTGAAATTGTTTAGAGAGCAGTAGTGAGCTAAAGCCGTTTGATTTTATTAATGTGAAACGGCGATTTCGCAAAGATTTGGGTCACTTCATAAAAATTTTCTGCTTCTACTTCAGCTTCTCGGCATGGCATACTAATCTGCGCGCGAATTACGATATCACGCTGCTGAACTCGCTGCATCGCGTCGTGCTCGAGCCGTTCTCCGTTCCTCTGTTTTCCGACGGTGCCTTCGTCCACTCCCCATTGTTCCCTGTTGACATCAGTAACAAGTCCATTACCTCCATAGTAAGTTATTCTTTGTAATCAGAATTGTTTTATCAAGCTTTATAACATGGGCGGAACTCCGATCTCGCTACTATTTCAAATTTATAAGTTGCTTCTTTATAAGCCTACAAGCTGAACAGAAATACGGCAGTTCTATAGCATTGCAGTATCTTAGGATTCCGCTATTCGTGACTGGGAAAGGTCCGGTTTGATGCCTTCGAAAATCTTACTACTAATACCATCCTACGGAATGGAACAGTCTCTGTTGAACTGGACAGATATCGGTATCGGTAGACCGACTGAAAAAGAGTATTCGATCATTGGTCAGGCAGAGGTAAGATCTTCTACGCCTATATCTTTAGCCTGTTTGAAAGGTCTTTAAAATATCACTACACATCGATTGTGAGGTCTTCACAGCGGCAGAATTTATTAATTGAGGCAGAATGTAACAGCGCCTGATTAATATGTTTAATTATTGTGTTTGCACTATGAATATCTCTGCAAGCATTCATTCAGCTTTTTTATGCCATGTTTTTGTTCAGTATTTAAAAAGCAAGAGTGCGTGTGGCGCGGTGGTAGGAGGCGCCCTGCGTCAAACACAGGAATCGATCTTCACACCTGTGGTTCACCAAGCTTTCGATCCCTCCGGGGACGGCAGGTTGTTACGAGACTTGTCTAGGAGGACAGCAGCACTGACTCGATACTTCGGTAGGCCACCGCGAGTTATTGTAAAGGCCAGATATGCATTCAATCACCTCAAACGATGCTGAATGAAGCCGAATCCACGGCGTATTTCCTCAGGGGTTGATCAACGTCGAGACCTTTATCCTTTTTTCTGCTTAAGAAGTAGAATAGTAAATATCAGAAGAGTTCATATGATGGTAAATGTTTCAATTATTTCTGTTTTTAAGCTGTGTCAACGCCTCAAGTACACTGGTACAATCCGGCAGACACACTGGGATTCGATGACAGTGAATGCGTTTTCGACTAGCGGTAGATGGATTAGCATTGATGATCAGCAATCCGTAAAGTATAAGGTAAGAAGTACATCTAAGTTGCTTAAACTTTTTTGCTTGCTTGACCTAACTTAATGACCGGCATGTTTTGGACTAAATAATAAGTAAAACGGCTCTATTATTCATATTGTGAACTACATGTTCAGGCTGTAAAGCACTGAAAAGGGCGAAGTCCACCACTCAGGAGAGTGGGTTTAAATTTGTGAAGAGCGTGCTAGATGCTCAGCAATTCGCTTATGACTTAGCCAACGGATCAAATCCACCATTAAGGTACTGTTACCGACACCTAACATGCCAGGTCCATATGAACTAGACGTGGTGTGTGTGGCTATAAACCGCCATGTTCTTCAGTCGATAACGTGTTGTGCTTGATATTCACTGGGCCATAGTCGATTATGGCTTCTTTTCAGTGGTCTTCGTTAAAATATTTTGCATAACATGTCTGGTTCAAGTAATCTAATTCGGCCTGACTAATAAATTGGTAGTCACTAATATCCTGGATCTCCCATATTCAACGTGTATTCAAGCTTTGGGTTGTTTTCAAAACGGACACAATGTGGCACTCTAAGGGAATTGGGCCTTGCCCGCAAGAAGTTATGGCGGCCGTATTGTTATCCTATCTATTTAGCACTCATTTTCCTTTTTTGGTATTATCATGATGCTCTTAGAAACTTTGTAAACAGCTGTTTTCCTCAGATCTTGAGCTAAGCCGTTCATAATAATGGGTGCCAAACTTAGCCGAAAGCATCTGAAGCATTATCGTTCCGTTAGTTTTTAATACTCAAGCAGGATCCAAACGTTACATAGGTGCCGTAAAGATAGGTCGGTATTGTTTTCACCTGGCTCTTTATTACAAAAAGGTCTTCATCTGGAAAGTGAAGACGGCGTATATGCAGGCTATCGACACCCATTACTTTATTATCTCACTTCATTTACTCCCAAGTCTGACTTTCTATTAACCTCAGCATTGATTGAATATATCTTTCTACTTCTGTTCAGCAAGCACGAGGTGCTATTTTATTTCTTTATTTACGCACAAGTTGACGTTTCGGCGGATTTCGCCTTCCTCAGAGCCGCTTTCTATGAGTCTTCCACTGAGTATATCGCGTGAAGATCGACCGCACAGAATTCACATGGAAGCGTAATGTTCCGATCGGCGTTCCGACATTCTGTGCGGTCGGTCTTCACGCGATATACTCAGTGGAAGACTCATAGAAAGCGGCTCTGAGGAAGGCGAAATCCGCCGAAACGTCAGCTTGTGCGTAAATAAAGAAATAAAATAGCACCTCGTGCTTGCTGAACAGAAGTAGAAAGATATATTCAATCACTTCAGTTATTTGAGAACTGCGCTACATAATTTGGGCGATATTTGAGTAACTCCATTTCGGAGCCCTGTTCTTCATTTCGATGGTGATGACAACGTATTATAGCAAAAAAGGCAAACACATAAGTAGAAAGAAAACACTTGTAATTTCGGAAAACGGTCATTTCATGCAGAGTGGCTAATCTTATTGCGATGTTTCACCGAGTCCCATTATCGTGTGGACGTATCGGAGAGCACTATGCTGAGCTCTCTTGGATATCCTGCCTGTTTGCGCGACTGCCCTTAATCGATCTTTATGTCAATTATCACGAATACGACTCCACTTAGGAGTTGTTTGCATAAGATCTTAATAATGTAATAAGATAATGTGGTTTTTCTTTTACACAACCCGCTTTCCACATTTACTTTACGGACCCAAACACTTCTTGCATTCTCTTCGTTCCTTCGCCTTTCAACTTTTTGGGTGATGCTACTTGAGGATTTTATTTTTGTCATGAATATCGTTGACTGCTGCTTAAGGAGACTCCGCCTGGGGTCTTCAAATAGTCTGGAAAGAGTGTTCCGACTAGCACCGTAGAGAGTAAAGTCTTTCCCAGAGAAGTCTGGTAGCAATTTCCTGATCGCGAAGGGATGAGAGCTTCGATGAGCCCGTGGCGTCGGACTGGCATCATACTCATGATAATAAGTACTGCGCTTCCGACCCCTCGTGTAAGTGATGTTATGTAAATTGAAGTGGTAATAGCTTATATTGAAAAATAATTCTTACTAGTATCTATTTTCTCCAGATATTAATCAAGCGCGGTTCAGCGATCTGTGAAAACTCAGAGGTCGAACCTGGTCGTTAGCTGGCCATGATGAGGGCAGGAAATCGCACCTGAGCTATGTTCAAATGGTAGATGATCATGTTGCGTGTGCCACTGACAGAGTTATTTTTTGACTTCAAAGAAAAAGGTTGAAAAGAATATATGCGGTGAAAAGGAAGACTGGAAAAGGACAATTAAACTGTATTATTAATGGTTTTGTTTTTGACTTCGCTTATAAGCGACGATCATTTCATATGCGCTATGCTCTACGCGAAGGGTTGGCAGGAGTTGGCTTGATGTCTCTGAATGAAGACGACCATATGGGAGCATGTGGATCAGGAGTTTTCCCGATTCTTCGTTCGATTTCAGTGAGATGTCGCTGAACACTTCGATAAGCAATAAAGTTGATGTAACGATTCTTGTGCGATTACAATACAACTCCTTTCAGAATGATATGAAGAGCATTTCAAAAACCGATTTCTCTTTAATCTCGTTACGATTAACGAACGTGTGTTCTTTCACTGATAAGCTAGCACGAGGTTGATAAAAAACCTTTATTTGGCTAATGTTTCGGCGCTTTCGCATTCCTCAGGGCCGGTTCGAACGGATTCGGTTGTCCACGGCTCGGCTCTTCTTCCTTCATACATGTGTCTTCGCGTCGAGTCAAATCCAGTCGAGCACCGCTCGAACGAGGAACTTCAATCGGTTAAGATCTTTTACAGATGTTGATTAGTCATACTGAGGTTAAAGGAAAGTCGATTTTTGAAACATTGCTACGCTGTGTTTTAGCTGGTAATGGTACCGACTGCTGCAGGATAGACTGTTCGGGTAAAAACAAGTTATTGTCAACGGACAATTACAATCAACAGCAACCGTCCTATATAAAAGAGCCATTTCCAAGGTTCTTCATTCGAGCGATGCTCCACTAGATTCACCTTTACGCGGTGGCGAAGACACATGTCGGAGAAAGAATCTATTCGGATCAATCCGGCTTCGAAGACGGTTAAGGAACCGAAGCATAAGGCAAATAAATATTTATGTCAACCTCGTGTAAGTCTGCCGATGTGAAGTGTTTCAGTTATCTTGTTTTTATGTTTCTATATGAATTTGTAAAAGTGGGAAAGATCCTAAAGGAGCCGACAAACACAACTACACAGCAGAGTCGTGCAGAGGAGCCAGATCGACATTGGGTCCCACATTTCAACAGTCAGAAGTTGGAAATTTTGATATACAAAGCTTCCTATGAGCTTAGATATACACATTTATCCTTGATGATTAGAACCTATTATTTTGAGTAACTCAATATCACGGTCTGCAGTGGTAAGTAGTTACGCTGTCCTCAAAGAAGAAGAAAACCCTCATGTAAAAATGACGTAATTTTTCATGTCATCAGAGCTTCGCTGAGAAACCGTGGTGCAAAAGTGTGATGGTGGACACTTCCTGGTAGAGGTTAGAGTTGATCGATAATTAAAAGGATTAAATTTCGCACGTCTGCGGATAAAATCCTAGAAAGTCGATTGTGTGACTTATCAGTTAAGATCACGGTTCCTTTAGCGTAACACAAAAAGTGAAAAGTATTTATATTCATATAGTTCTCGTTGTCGAAGTTGCTCCGTCTCAGTCGTTCGATCGTCCTTCTGACAACCTCAGTGCCTTTCCACATAATTTCCGGGAAACGTTCCAAACTGTCCTGTCCGTAAGACGGTACCTAAACAACACGATGGTTTATGGATTAAACCAGTAATCGAAAAATCATTCGCTTTTTTATTTCTTTCAACGGCTAAAGTAGGATTGATCCCGCGTCTACGGCCCACCAAGCCTTCCATCCTTCCGGAGTCGGTAAATTGGTATCAGACTTGGCTGAGAGGAGAGCAGACGGGCTCGATACATCGGTGAGCCATCGCGAGTCATTGTAAAGGCCAGATATGCATTTAATCACTCCAAAGGATGCTTAATGGAGATGAATGCATGACGCATCTCTCAAGCATTGATCAATGCCGAGAGCTTTATCCTCTTTTTGAACGGCTAAAATTGTACCAGGAGAAATGAAGTGAGCACAAACATTTTACGCTAAATCAGGGACACAAAATTCGAATAAAATTAAACGACAACTACTGAGATAATTCTCAAAAAGGTTTCCAATATTGCTGCTTAAAGAAGAGATGACGAAGTAGAAAAGCAAAACAAAAGCAGTTGAAGATATGAAAATTATGCATTATAGTAAAGTATTGTCTGGAGGTGACTGAATGCATATATAAGGGCCACGTGTGGCGCAGGGGTCGGAGGAGGCCTGCAATGCACATGGGATCGATTCTTGCGCCCATGGCCCCAACAAGCCTTTCACCCGTCTAGGGTGGGAAAATTGGTACCAGACTTGTCTGGGAGGATAGCAGCACTGACTCAATAAATCGGTAGGCCACCACTAGTTAATGTAAAGGCCAGGTATGCATCCAATCACCTCCAAACGATGCTTGATGAAGTCGAATGCATGGGGCATCTCTTAGGGACTGATCAACGTCTAGAGCTTCCAAAGTTTTTTTACAGTGTTTGAAACTGCACTGCTAATATCATCGCAATGTGTTATATAATTTAAATGTTGAAATATCTACTACATATTGCAACCTATCTTATTTTCTGGTTTTCAATTGCAAAAGCTTTATACCTGGGGCAGACCTTGGCCAGGTTGACCTCGGGATTTCAGCGAGCCACAACGGCTTAACCAGGAAATCTCCGAAAAATGGAGATTGATGGCGCCCGCACAACCAGTTAGGACGGAACATTCAAGTATCAAGTAAGTAAGTAAAGCTTTATAACATCGCAATAGCAATGGATTTAACCGGGTAAAAGTCTTAACAAAAGCTTTAATCGATTACCAGTTGTGCTTACCGATATACCAACCATCGTCACATTTCTCCACGACGAAGATAATGTCGTTCACTTCCAACGAGACTTCATCGCTTTTCGTTGGAGTGAATTTATAAAGAGCTCGATAGCTGCAATTTAAGTTATTAGAAAATTTGAAATGTGCACAAGTAACCAGGTAGCAAACGTTTCAATCCGAGCGATGAAAACTAGGGCTGAAATCCCTGACATTGTTATAGATGATGTCACAGAAGGTCATCATCAGATTTGTTTTCTATTTGTGTGTGAATTTCCCATTTACAGTTGCTTCCGGAACCAGTTCCGGACTTTCAGTTTGCACTACTCTAAAAATCTATTGAGAAGCGAGAGGCGTTCCTTCAATAAACTCGAAGTGAAGGACCATTTCATCGCAATAGTGGATTGGAAGTTCATTTCAGTATTCAAAAACATTTCCGAGAATCTTTCTTAGAGTTCAATCTACCATAGCTAAGATGAAATGCTCAACAACCGCCCAACTGTGCGGTATGCAATGAAGCTTCGCATTCAAAGAAGATTCTTGCCGGAGACCTCGCAGAGTTTATCTCAGATGAATCAAAGAAACGTGATGAGTGCGTCGACTCGGCCCTCAGGCCACTGTCATCGACTACTAATGTTCAACGTTTAAAAGAAATAAAGTTGCATTAAAACTGTAGAGCTCAGAATCTAACCTTTTGAGTCAGAGTGAAAAATCTATAGATTCTAAAGATGTGGCGAAAGCCAGAGCGAGGAAGCATGATCGCTGTTTCACACTGTAAGTCTGATTTGCAAATAAATTCTTAACAGGAAGTGTCAAGGAGGATTAACATGACCTCTGAACACTTGCCTCCTTCACAGAGAACCAAAAGGTAGAGCTATCATTTTTTAACGAGATGCTATAGAAGTGAAGGAAATGTGCTGATCCTAACCACCATAGCTCGAAAAAGGTTTGGAATTTGGAAGCTCCTTGATTTTGGCGTATTATTATATCATTCCGTGACTTCAATGAATAACTGCGTAAGAGAAACAACAGTAAAAGAAAGAAGATATCAGATATAGACAAGGAGATATAGGTGGACAATAGCGACTTGTAGAGGTAATAAATTCAGGAATGATTTTGTAGTATAATAGAAAGAGGTAACTAAAGCCAAAGCTAACTAACTAAACTAAAACTAAAGCGTAAGAGATTTCCACATATCAGAAGCACTTGCAGGTACCTATCAATTTTATGCTAACAATGATACTACAATGAAAGAAAATATCTTGTAAAAGAAAGAAGGAAAGATCCAGCTGCTTACGTTTGGCTGCCTTTAGGAATTTTGTCGGCTGTGCACACGTACGGTTCTTTCTTGGCACTGCTCGGCGATGTCAGGTCGGTCTCAGAATGGCCATGAATCCTGCAATCATATGTCCTTGAGTAGCTAATTTTGGTTACGTTACGGTAAATCACATATAAGTAACTGCCAACAAATGGTGTTAACATGTGGAAACCAAATTTCGAACTTTAAAAAAATGACAGTTTTTACGGCAATATCAATCGGACACGACTGCAGAGCGTAGAGATGCCGTGTAGTACTGCGATGGTCATTGGCTCCAGCTCGCTCTATGTCAAACAAGACCTCAGTGCCTTCGGAGTCAGTAAACTAGCATCAGAAATGCCTGGGAAAACTTTCATTCGATCCATAAAGACAAGCGATTGCCTAAGGTGAAGACCTAGAAAAAGGTCCGACAAGGATACTATGAGGTTCCTTAACGAAAAAATCAGCGATATCCATGATGAAGACAAAATCCTGAAAACAGCACCGAAACCCATGAGCAGAATGTGAGTATCTTCGTGGATAACGGATGGAGGACCACGAGCAGAAGGTGAGACCGTATTGAGATTCCTATAGTTTGTGAACAAGGGTCGTACTACAAATATGTAAAGAAATATAAAAGTATTAGAACGAGAGCTTACTGTATAAATATGCTAAAAGTGATATAAGAAACCGGACAATAAACAAATAACATGTCACGTTCCATATTTACGAGAAAACAAAGTACGCACTGAAAGCTAACAATGACCATAAAAAAGAAAGAAAAAAGAAGGGAAAGATAAAAGAAAAAGCGAAAAATAGGAAAAGAAAAAGTGAAAAATAGGAAAAGAAAAAGGAAAAAAAAGAAAAGTTTCGCTTTTCAATATTTTATCGAGAAATTGGAGCTTATCATACAAATTTGTGGCAGAAACCGGTCATTTCTTTGTGATCTTTGCAGATTTCTCTAAAGTCTTATTCATTTTCACAGGCAATCATGTCTTTTATCGGTCTCATTATTAATATTTTTTCAAACGACTCCAAGTTTTGGAGTCCACTTTGGTCTCCACAACTCCTAGACTACTTGTAGATTCGTCAGTCACCAAAAAATTCCGATGTGAAGTACCAAATGCCTATCGTTCCGGTCCTGGATCCCCTCTTTGGGCTACTCTTACCCAATAAAGGGACAACAAAAGCATCACACTTTCGGTATGATCTCCACTCCTACTTCTCCGACGGAAGTAAAGCTACTGATAGTTCGAAACGCTCTGCTATGACAAATTTATTGCTTGCTGAGTATCCTAACACAAACTTCGAAATATTTTTCACTACGTACAGGAGATCACTAAGGACGGATGAGTCCGCTACTGTACATCGCAGTTCGAGAACATTCTCCCACCCGATAGAACGGAAGGTAAAGCATTGGAAGACTCCTATTATTATAATGATCGCTCTCAGCAGTATCACAGTTAGAGAGGTATTCCGCTAATTGTCGTTGCTAACTCGCCACTATCAAACGAATGAAGTAAATACGATAAGGTTCCACATTGGTAACGCATTTAGAAATGCGATCCAACACTACGACAAGTAGCTGACTGGCGATTTAGCGCGTTAATCCTTGTTGACGCGTTTGATTACGATTTTATAGGAAAATGCAGTACATGGTGAATATAAGGACATTGTTCAAACCAGTCCACACTCGTGCGTCATAAACGTCTTCACGTAACCTTGCGCCAGTTTACACTAGACGATGAATTTACCCAGAGTCATACAACAGCGTTCTTTGAATCGTTGACAAATATTAAACGAAACCTTCACAATAATTCCCTGATCATTCTAGGAACCATACCATATATCATTAACTGTGCCCTTCGCAACGCGTTTTTCGACGCCTTCTGTATTTTGAGGAGAAGCGAGAGTTTCTTGAGCAGAAGCAGCTGAATACCTGGAAATGACTTCGCTCAGGCATATGTTAAGGTTCGTTAAATGCTTCTAACTATTTAGAAAAACGACAAATAAGAGATAGAATAAAGGTAGGGCTTTCGGCGTTGATCATTCTCTGAGCGATGCGTCTAGACACCGTTAGAAGAGGTGATTGAATATCTGTCATATACAATCACTTGCGGTGGCTTACCAATGTACTAAGCTAATGCTGCATTCTTCGCAGGCAAGTCTGGTATCAATTTGCCAACGTTGCATGAATGGAGAGCTTGATGAGCTCGCGATGGTGGATTGAACTGAGAACCTCTTGTGTATACCAGGGCACCTCTAACCACTGGGCTACACGCACCCCATAAACAAGAAATAACTATGCTTACCTATTAGGTCTTGAGAAGTGCTCATCTCGTTCAAAGACTTTCGGCGTTTTGGGCCGGTCTGGCGAGTTTGTCAAAATCTGAAATTTACACTTAGACACTCAGCGTCCGAAATAGTAGAAATAATGAATGAAATATACTTATTTATGAGAGATGAAAAACCCACTTCATTGTAAGGATCCGATTTCCCACAGAGAGACCTTACATAATTTCGTGGAAAGATACCAATTTCACCCAGATGATTGGTACCTTCATACCAGTTTTCATCTATTTCCCTTCGAATAGTCACCACTTCACCCTATAATGAAACGTTCGCATCACCGGTCTGATCTAATGGTCGAGTATCAATTATTATGAAGTGTTGACCCGTTGGCTGGTTTGATGGAAATTGACAGTTTAATTTATTTATCTACATAACCCGACATCGTCTACTGTGTCGATTCAAGCATTTCTTTAATTCGATTGTTTTCCTCGCATCCACCCACAAAGGTCCTCGGGTTTAGCGTACGGTTCGCTTACAATTTGAAGGGTTTGCCTTCATGAATATCCCTGAATTTCAGTCGAGATTCTCTTTAAAACCATAGAGTAACTACGCTAACACGTTGCCTATGCCTGTTCCACAGACATTTGTCGGCCACTATAGATCGAAAGCAGCTTATTGGACAATTCTAATATAAATTTGCCGGCTCCGTAGTGATAAGGACCTTGGCTTGCCCTGAACGGAGTAGGATCGACTTGTTTGAGAATTCATTACGCTCGCTTTATAACACACAAAATTTTTATCTCAGATTTTCAGGGTTAAAAATGTGTAGAGGCAAAAATTACTATTTCCTCAACCGCAGTTTCACATACCTGCCGCCATGATGATTTCCTCGTAAATGAACCGTGTACTGTTTAATACTTACTTCAGGTGCTATTTCCCCTTTCTGAGTTTTGCTAACAGTAGCATGAGAGCTCGTAGTTTAACATTGATGCATTCTAATAGGAGAGCTAGCTTCGTCTATAATAGTTACACAAAAGTATCTGTGCGCCGCCCGAGGTATACTGAATAATTTATCACTTCTCGTGGCTGTCAAGAAGACATTAATAGCGCTGTAAGCCAATTAAAATGCATTGAAAAGTCGATTTCCTTTGTAAACATGCTGCTCCACTGAGCATGGTTTTTACATACTACACTCACATGTTTTTCCTATACGGGCGAAAGGACTGCTGATGAGGATTGCATGCTATATTTTATTTCGGAGACCACGTCGCTGAAGACAGATCGTGGCCACGACACCCTTCATTGATTCATACACGAAACAATGTTTCTTGCAGGAAGGAACATTGAAGATAGAGACCTTTCCAACAGAGCTTATTGGAGGAAGGCAAAACATCACTAACCATCTTTAGTCCGAGTTCAGTGTTCCTCCTAGGTGTGAATGGGTAAATGACTTTCGCTGTGCTGCGCGATCGGTCGAATTCGTCGTCCATCTAAAACGCTATTGCGTTGTCAATGTTCTTCATCACTTTCTATGTTTGAATATGTTTCTTTTTGTTTCTATGCTCGAATATAAAACTATAGTAAAGAAAGAGGTTTTCTCCTGTTATGGGATCATTTTTCACCTGCACATAACTCCTGGGGAACAGACCGCACTGACCATTTCGCTCGCCTTCCAACCAGTTCACGTCCACCTCTCTTCTGACTCGAATGATGTCGCCACGGTTCAGCGGCAGCTCTCTGAAATCACAGTGCTACATTTCAAAGCTGTGCCATGGAAATTCTTCTTAGTTATATTTATGTCTCTTTTGCTGCCTCATTATAGCACATTATAGCAACAACAATCAATTAAGGAAAAAATGTGGAGCAAATAGATAAAACGAAAAAAATACCTCGTCATTTTTTATTTATTTCCTACCCTTTTTAATGACAAGGTATTGTGCGAAATATAAACATGATGATGCCGAGATATTTGCAAAACCCCGGACCGTTGGTGTCCACGGTGGGGGCCAAGCACGCTATTACCCTTTCCGAAAAGAAGGTCAGCTGGATGGAACGAAATAAATAAAAACTATAGAAGGTATGCATAAACAGCTGGTTTTCTAGGGACATGGAAAATCGATGAAGGTTTTTCTGCAGACATGCCAAAGCACATTAATGGGAAGTCTGTCTGATCAGACTGTGGAGTAAAACGGTCGACTGAACGATGATACTCTGGCTATAATCATAACAAGCAACCGATTATCAAAATCATCCGTCATACAAGGCCAGCAGTTCTTCTCCCGCTTGAATTCGCTTATGATGACTATTAAAGCGATTTTATGCTGCTTCTGACATACTCGAATCTGCAGGAGTCACTCCATGAGCCATCTTTCTTATGCAGTTGCAAATACCTTTGCATCAACTTGCGCTCGATTTCGTCTACTCTTCCAGTCACATATCCAGCGCATGTTTGTTCCAAATTTAATGTGTATATCCCTGAATACCGAAGATGGGATATTCTAGAAGTTTGAATACAAAGACTGGTTCGATGTGACTTCTATATATATTTCAAAAGACTTCGTATTTGTGGGTGGTGGCCAAAATTTTCAACGTGGCTGAAAACAGCTAAAGAACGGTCGATGGTTTAGAAGGCGATTATAAAGTTTTGGATTCGTCAGTAGACCGCTGACTTCTTCTATTCCTAAACAGTTTCTCGCACATTTAATACTTGCGATAAAGATTCAGACCGTTCGCCGTAGTTCCCTAAAAAGCTGGCTGTCTATATTTGATCTAATTTTCACCTTCCGTTGAGTGTTCTTTTTTTATTTAACTGCAGCGTATGCGGATGGCCCAACCTACCCACACCTAGGTTCAACCCCACACAAAACCAAGCAAGCCTTTCATCCCTCCAGGGTCGTGAACCTGGTGCCAGAATGCTCCAGTACAGTTGACTTCCACTATACCACGTGGAAACGCTCTAGCAAGGCTATCTCAAAAGTCTAAGAAGAATCGACTTGACCAGTATGTAAACGAAATTCGTAAAAAACGCGAAAAAATCTTCAAGCAGATGCGAAAATCATAAAAAGAAGCCACGCAAAGAATAGCTTGAAGACCTTCATGGATGGTGGATGCGAGGGAACGAACAGAATGGAAGAAGTGTTAGAATCTACAAATTTTGGAACCTGTGGTGTCAGGTCATGAAATAAATAAATAATAGTTGCCGAGCAGTTTTGCAGATGTTCAACAAATCTCGGAACACTTATCTAGTACTCCCTTGTTTGAAATACGCAGGTATTATGAAGGGACGTAGCAGGCTAGCACCAAAACCCCTAAATGGTTTTTTGCAAACACTGAATCTCCTTTTAGGCTACAGCTAAACACTTGGATCGCTTGGGCTTAAAGGATAAAAGCACTCGGCGTTGATCAATCTCTGAAAGATGCGCCATGCACCCGACAACATTAAGCATCGTTTGGAGGTTATTAAATGCATATCTGGCCTTTAAAATGATTCGCGGTGACCTGCCGATGTATCGAGCCAGTGCTGCTATCCTCCTAAACGATGAAAGGCTTGGTGGGCTAGAGGCGCGGGGATCGATCCTATGTGTGTGTTGCATGGCGCCTCCGATCATTGCGCCATACGCGCATTTTTTTGTTTATTTTTGTTTTCGCTTGGGGTGGTAGGAAGACTTCAATGATTCATTGCGACTACAAAGCGAATTAAAATTAGTTACACCGCGAAAGAATTTTGAAAACTCACCCTGGTTTCTGCGTTGAATTAAAGTATTAAATTAAATTAAAGTTAAATGCGTTTGGCTTTACATCACAGTTTCAAAGAGTTTTAAGTGATGTCTGATATGGGTATCCAAAAGAGATCAACTGCTCCGCCTTGCTTACGTAGAATGAGGTACATGACGTCTTGAAAGTATTAAAGGCCCGTTCTCTGTTAAATACTGCTCTTGGAGGCTAATAGAAGCAGTACTTATTCAATAAGGCGACTGCAGATGCACCCCGCCTTAATAGCCGCCACATTTCCTTTCATACTAGTGATTCTACTTGAAAGATGCGATTTGGGTCCATCACTCACTCTTTCTGATAGAGATCCATCGTACTCGTATCTTCGGAAGCTCTTCATGCCAATGGTGATTGACATACCTATGCTCCATTCTCGTTTCACTACAGTACCAATCTGGTATTTACTTGTAGCTTAGTTTGAGGGACATCATTCTGATGTTTGTTGTGGCGGGACCAACTCCGTAGCGTCTGCTCCTCTTGAAAAACTAGTTAGCAATGTTTGTTAACCGTAGAGAGCATCTTATCGGCGACAAATGCTGTTGTTCGGCGCGCCCTCAGAAAGTTGACATCCACAGTGTGAAATTTCTCCGTTAAACGAAAATGACTGTTTACATTGAGATTTGTAATCAGGTTATGATCATTCTTATCCTATTTGCAGTAAGGGAGGGCTTGAAAAAGGTACGACCACATTCATCGTCGAATGTTGAGCCAGTAGGATAAAAACAATTCGAAAACCCATGGAATATTTAAGTTTTCTTAATACTTTCTGGGGAATATATTCTCAGCCTTAGCCGAAATTTAAGGGTTTTGAATAGAACTACATAGGTGTGAGTTATACCTTGGAGATTTCGCTTCAAACTTGAATATGGCCGTAGCGGTCCGAACTGGGATTTGGTGAAGAGACGTGGAATTAGGACGGCTGTATTCATCGAGAAGACCACCAAACCGATCCTTGTTCAACAACAACGACGGAGACGTCGAAGGACTGCAAAAACATCTACGTGATTCTCATTTCGTCTTCTTATCTGCTATTAAATTGGAGGTATCATAGTGCTGATATCTCATCATTCTACTAAAAGAACTTTTATCATTTGTCGCGAGAATCACAATTTCTGTACAAATTTGACTTCAAGCGTAATGTAATAGATAACCTTCGTACAAAAGATTAAGAAAGAGCAGCTGAAAACCCAAAAGTAGCACTTTGCTCCATCATCTTAAGAAGCTTCTTGAAGTGTCATCAGCTTCTTAAAGTGATCTGGATGAGGTACATATCTTTCGAATATGCTTTCACATTTTCGCCATTTTTAAAGCATAATCCTCTGAGGGAATGCTGAAAAGATTCGCGATAAAGTACATTTGTGTTCGACTCTTGGTTGATCGAAGAAAAATTAAAATAATTAGCTCGAAGCTTCATCACTGCAGACAGCCTGAGTTAATCCCTTCGACAGCATGGAAAGAAATGACTGAGAATGATTAGAATGAAAAAAAGAGGGAATAGATAGCTGACTGACAGCTTGTTCAATAGCTAGGTTCTTCATATGGTTTTTTTCAATAAAACTAGAAACGGATAAATTGTCTGTCTATATGAGATGAATCAACTCGTAATTTTCGAGCCAACGAAAAATTGGTGGCCTCACGGGAAAAAGTTTACCTGAACGCATTCAACTGAATAATAGACTTTTTCCCTTTGACCTCTTTGTCTTTGTTTGTGCTGTCTCACTCTCTGGCTCACTATTGATAATTAATGAACCATTTAATCCTAACTATTCACGATGTTTTCTCAACGCTCTGAAGAAACCTCTCTAATCAGATATTAAAACGTTAAGAAATAATATAAGAAAACAAGGAATGAGATACACAAAGTATTTTAAAAAGGTATTCTAGTGCCTCACATATAGCCATGACGTCGATTTCGTTGGTCCTGGAGCTCCTCGGCTAGACGTTCGGCCTTCTGCCGGTACAACAGCTCCTCTTTAGAGATCCGCTTCAACTCGGCGACTTCGTCTGCCGTGGTCGTTGACGACGACTCTCCTTCACCTAAGCATCCTAATGAAAACGTGCCATGTAAACAGGGATTTCAAGGACAGAAAGCACGACTGGAGAACAAAAATAACTTATTCAATAAAACATTTGTCGCTACCAGCGAATGACGCCGATACACACAATGTCGTCACTTTTTCCTCAGTGAGCTATTCTGCCTAGGTCTGAGGAAGACTTCAGTCTCGGTTATTCTTCACACATCGAAAATATATTGACGCTTGGGTTTTGTTACTTATTATTCAAGCTCATCATGCATATTGCTACAAGAGAGAAAAAGGTCATGAAAAGAAAAAAAGTCGATAATAAGACCTAGAAAGAAAAAACAGGCAGGAAAGACCATTGGTTAGAATGTTATGTCAATTAGGGAAAAAACTGTAAAAAATGTTAGTCTAACCACAAGCTAACAGTTGTGGTGAGCTCTTAGATCGCTTCCAAAACTCATCAAGACGTTGAATGAACTGCGACAACTCGTTAGCGGTGTCTTCCAAGTTCTCATTGATATACCGAAGAACTGGAAAGGTAAATGATATAAATTAGCTTTTAGAAAAAATTTACTTGATTCAGAAACGTGAAGAAAATTCTGAGTTTGACGATCACAGTATTGTCAAAGAAAATCGAGGAAAATGATTTTATCGGACTAAAGACGAGCACCACATCGTTGTTCAAGGTTTTCCAAACCGATATTTAGCTACTCCCTAGTTCTAACGTTCAGTCACCAAAGGAAAACTACAGAAGAAGAAATCCTGTCCTAATCTCAGTAGAAGCCAAGAAGATGGTCGATTTTTTGGAATGATTTCCGCTCTTCAATTTCTTGTTCATCGTTCGTTAAGTCACATCTCCAACAATATATTCCTTAGCTGTGTTAACTTTTTATTCACTGCCTATTACAATTCTTCTTGGCAGGGTACTACGTGTGATACAACCACAATGATTCTGAGATATTTGCGAATTCCGGACCGTCGGTGTCTGCGGTGGGGAACGAACGCGCTACTACCGTTTCCGGGGGCTTACGCGTTCACTACACCATACGAGACCTTCGTTTCGTCTGTCTCTCAGCTAGTTCTATCGATCAATGCCGTCAGTAATCACCCGTCAACGGGATTGATCTAGGGAGCCCGAATGGGCTATGAACTCAGTTAACCTGAGGCTGTAGTCGAAATCACAATGTTAATTTTTCCTGTTCCTTAACTGTTTCTTTCCAGCTGTTGTAATATAACCTCCACTTTGTTACAGTATTCTCACATCACGATTAAGTTTTAGCATCTTCATATGGAAGTAAACGCGGTGTTATTATGATCAGTCCTTATCCTTTAAGGACCCCCAGTATAGGCGGTAGCAAAATCAACCCAATTAGCGAGAAACAACTCATAGCGATCAATAATGCTCAGGAAGCACTTAGAGACAACGGGGTTTTATAACAATAACGAAGTTCTAGCGTGGAACATCTGTTTCGCGTCATTAAAGTCATTTACGAGATTTCACATAAATAAATGAATGTGAAAAAGCTTGTAAAAGAGCACTCGCTCTTGAAAACAGCCCCTCTTAACCTACTACGATGAATGATTATCGATTTACAAGAAAATCTCT